CTCAGGGGAGAGAAAAGAGAAACTAACACAACTCCTTGAGATGGGAATTCCTGAACCGTGGTACAAAAACCCAATGCCGCCCTGGCTGGTTTGGCTCAGTGGTTGGAGCGTTGGCCTGCGGACCAGAGAGTCCCAGGTTCGGTTCCACTAGGGGCATATACCAACAAACAAACAAACAAGCAAACAAAAAAAACCAATGCCCTGACTCAGACTACAAGTAGATTAAAGAATATGCAAATGTAAAGATTGATACGATTAGGAAAATTGAAATGTTTAAACAGGCTTTATGTTAAAGTTATTTCATCTTTCACCTGACTGTATTGTAGAAAGACATTGTCTCACTGGGAAACTGTGACATGAATGCTGTCAGTTCTTTCTTGTGGCTGTCAGAGGAAAAGCCTAGAAGGTCTTTGCATTAATAATGCCAAAAATATTTACTGTTTGTCCCAGCTGAAACCTGACAAGATATTTGAAAGGATTTAATAACTTTTTACACCTGAAATTTGGCCATTTTAAAAACTAATGTCACAGCCTGATAGGAATTATTTGAGTCCTCTTCCTAAAATAAAATAAAACTATATGCCCCAAGGGAAAGAAGAGATTATGTAATTAAACAGGCAGGTCAACCTATGATGTCTCTTAAGTTTCAACCCAAATTTGAGAACAGCTGTCCATATCTGATAAGCCTTTGTAAAACCAAAAATGCAGCTCTAGAGGCTGTTTAAGCCCACTTATCTATCATCCTCATTCCTAGGACTGAAAAGTAAGTTTTTTTGAAAGCACGAACTGCTTCTGTGGCTCCAAGGCTCCCTTAGCAAGGACAACCACAGGTCTGAAAGGCTTTCTCCACAACTATTAAAGGAAAAATACCTTGGTCATCTGAGCAGATCAATGTAACTTATTTCATTAACTTCTTAAATTAATGAACTTTGCTTTATGATGCCTGTCTCGTGGCTGAAAGATCCGTGTGTGTGTCTGTCCATGTGCATCGTAGTATTTTCTACATCTGAATGGTATTGTTAATTAGAAATAAAAAGGAGGAACTCTATTAAATTGGCTTAAACTAACAAGTGCTTATATGAGAATTCTCAAAAATATAACAGGAACGAAGCCAGATGCTTTCCAGAATCACGTCATCAGGGAAAATATTTGATATTAGAGCTGTTTTGAGTTTGGTTTGGTTCTAAATATGGGCATCTTTTCTAAAAATGTGTATATGTTTGCCCAGCCAGTGTGGCTCAGTGAATTAAGCATCATCCCATGGACTGAAAGGTCCCAGTTCGATTCCAGTTCAGGGCACACGCCCGGGTTGAGGGCTAAATTCCCAGTAGGGGGTGTGCAAAAGGCAGCCAATCCATGATTCTCTATCACATCCATGTTTCTTTCTCTCTCTCCCTTCCTTTCTCTAAAAAATCAATAAGAATATATTAAAAAATAATAAAATGTGTATATCTTTAAAATTATCAGCCTTTAATAATACTTTTATTCTACCTTGGTTTATAGTTAATGTACCTCTGTTGTAAAATTTGTCAGCAGGAAACTTGGTATGATGAAATTTTCATAAGTAATCCAAAGTTAATTGTTAGAAGCAGGTAAATTAAATGTAAACAGGATAAAGGTTTCTTTTAGGTTAACTATTTAGCAATAATTATATTGTACTTAAATAGTGTTATAAATCTACATGGTAACTTGAAATGTTAAGTTTTGCTAACTAAATAATGAATATTCGTTGAATGCCTAGACCATTTCCAAATAAGATAATAAAATAAATAAAAAGCAGAGATTTTGTTTTATTAAAATAGTTTTCTGTTATCTTGATCAGGCAGTTGATTATTTAAGAAAATAACTTTGAGTCAAATAAATGAGTTTTTGCTAACCTGTGTTTTTATTTGATTCCTTTGCTTTTTTTATTAATTTTTTTAGAGAGGGGAGGAGAGATAGAAACATCCATGTAAGAGAGAAACATGGTTCGGCCACCTCCTGCACGCTCTTCACTGGGAATCAAGCCTACAACCTGGGCATGTGCCCTGACCAGGAATTGACCTGGGACCTCTAAATCCTTGGGATGATGCTCAGTCCACTAAGCCACACCAGCTGGGCTTATTCGATACCTTTTGATTGTCACTTGGGTAAATAAATTAATAGTTTCATAATGATATATGATCTTTTTGGTCAAGTGTGTTTGACAAACTTCCAGGTTCAAATTTTAACACAAGAATATCTTCTTAACCTAGAAATGGTTTCAGGTTGTTCCAATGGACTCCTGGAACACCTCAAAGAAATTGTTTTCTCTCCTTGCAAGGGAGAGGTTTTAAATTAGTTAGGTCTATTTGATATGTCTGAATTGCATGAGCTTTGCTAACTAATAGTTGTGTTGTATTTCTGTGCATATATTCTTATTATTAAGGGATATTATATATTGGAGATTCTATAAACATCTCCAGGAGCATTATCTTAAAATGCTTTGAAAGGCCAAATTCTTTGTCAATTACATAATAATCAGATCTATAAACATGTCATTTTGTTTTGCCATTTATAGGCAGTCATGGTTTTACATTGTTTTGGATGTATGTTTCATCTTAAGAAAGATCCATAAAAAGAACACTGAGTTATTCTAAAACAGCGTTTTCTGAGGATAAACTCTCAGATCATAGCTTTAAACTCAATGAAGATTTACAAAACTCTAGGGAATAACTGCAATTATGAAATACAATTTCATAATTGTATTTATGAAGGATCAAAAATAGACAAGAATTAATTATATGAGAGATGGCAAGTAAAAACCTCAAGATATTTGGGGCACCTAAAGAACCTGAGGTATTCACCCAAATCGATAGGTACTGCAGGTAAAAGCTTTTGGCAACTCTATGGCTTGGCTTCTTTGCCTTGAGAGGTTAAAATTCAATTGGGAGCTTGCTTACAAAATTCTAGCCAAGCAGAGTTAAAAGAACCTATCTGATCAATTACTATCCTTGTTGTATTTATGCAAATAACAGGCCAAATTTATTGAAACTAAACTTATATAATAAGATAGTCTTAACTTGGCTATCTTTGATAAAATGAGCATGATCTTGAGTGGAAAAAATGTTTCAATAGAAACCATAATGTCCAATTGTGGATATTAGATTCTAGTTCAGTTAATTGTCTTTAAAATCTTATTTTTCACCTGTGGACTGGACTGGATCCTGAATTTTTCTAATGAAAGTATTTGGGTACAGCCCTCTGAACTAGTGTTTCACTTTTCTCCCATCCTTTGCCTTGGAATTATTGAGAACTAAAACTTATTTTTCCTGAGCCTTGCAACCGCAGACAACATAATGTAAACTTCAGGGAAACCCTCAGAACAGCTCATACATGGATGGTGTCAGTGACTGCACTGTGTAAGCCACGCACAGAGCTTTCTTGAGCAGTGTCAGGGCATTCCTCAGGGACGCTCAGACTGTGGACAGGGGAATCTGTCAAATTGTCATGGTTTCCCTTAATTCCAACAGAAATGAGGTCTTCCCAAGTGGCAGTCTTAAAGACTTAGAGACTAAGTGTGGTGTGCTCTGATTAATACTTAGGGTACAGGTATCCTGGCCTACAGCTTCATCTACCATTGCTGTGGTTCCTGCTTGTAAACAGAACACCCAGAATGTCCCCTCTAAGACACAGGAACCCTTGAGGAACAAGTGGGCATATGAGTTAGTAAGAGTCAGATAAGAGGGGCACAACCGGCAGACAAATCTGACTCCATCTTATGAGCTAACCCTCCCTCTTGACTGAACCTGGACACAGTTACCTGGTATTCTTTAAGATTAAGGGATGATCAAAATAAAAGGGGTGGGGGGTTGAAACCATGTAGAAACTTCATTTAAATATAAACTTTTCTTCATTTTTTCATTTTTTAAAATTTAAATTGGCCTTATCCAGCACCCTGACTCACCTTCCTACTTTTTCCTTGCATGTCCACTCCCTTTATCAATAAGCCCTTAGGTAAATAAGGTTCTGGTCAGTATCAAATAATCTTAAGAACAAAGCCTCAGGTCTGTTGTCCACAGAAACAGTTTCATCAAACTAGAGATAACATTTAGGTTTCCGTTGTTTCAACTCCAGACCTGGAGAAGTGACGAATCCAGATAAAGTGATGCCATTTTTGACAAGACTGGATGCACTGATCAACTACCATCCACCCTAGCACTGGTCAATCAAAGACCACGTTCTTCACTCCCTTAATCATCATGATTAATAACTCATCCCTTGGAAGCCACTGATTAGTCAGGTCTTTGAGTATTAGCTCACCTGTGACTCTGGGTGTGGGCCACTTCCTGAACCAATAAACCCTAACTTTCTGTGCTGCAAGCTCCTTATTGGACTTTGATTCGTGCAGACAAATGAGTCCATTTAGTCTGCTAACAATACCAAATGAGTTTGGAATTCTGTAGTTTAGCTTGTATATAATCCTGAATGATCCCTATAATATCTTCATTTATCTACCTACCAAAAAGTCTATTTAGTATATTAAAATATCATGCCACATCACCAAAACAAGCTAGGTATTTTTAGATAATTTTATTTACAGAAAAGTCACAAAGATAAACAAAATTTTATTAACACAATTTCGTTAGTAATAATTAACAGAATCAAGAGTGGTTTAATATATATCACTTGATATATGATACACATTAAAAGAGTTTTCCACTACCTTTATTTGTTTTTTTATATTTCAATTCTTTAACAAACCTAGAAATAAGGCAGTATACACGGAACAGCTTTACTAAATACTTTTAAATTGTTTCCTTCTATATCATATATTAAGTCATTTTAAAACCATCTGCATATTAAATGGCCTTTACATTATAATTCCTAAATTTAAAGAAGTTAAGCAGCAAATAGAAATCAAAATGTATAAAAGAAACTGTCATAAAATTTTTTAAAATTATGACATTAGCAATATCATAAGTTAACAAAGAATTTCCCAAAAATTACTGCAAAAATAAGGTACATTAAAAATAATAATTAAGTCTAGAATATTTTGACTTGCATTCTCGTCCATCAATGTTAGAACACTGGAGCACTGGCCTGGATGTGAAAGGGCCATTTTTAAAAGCAGTAGATGGCAGCATGTGTCGTTTTAAGGACAGAAGGAATATGGACTACATACTTTAATTTGCAAATAATTTTCTTTATCCAAATAATATTCAGTGTTTCCATTATCCTTGAATGACAAGATTCTTTAAGTACTGTGTAAAAAAGAGACCATCCTTTACTGATGGAAAGCTTCTAATCTTATTCGGGCTGGATCTTCTGGGTGTCTCAAGGCAATTCCATTACGCAGGAGCAGCTCAATATATGGTGGCCAAAAGGAATCACTAATTTTGACATATGGATCATGTGGAACATCAAATAATCTATTTAAAAGAATCTAGGAAAAAACATCATTCAAAATATACCTTAGTTAGGGAAAAATTAATACAGCTATAATAAAATATTAAAATAGTTTTGTTTTTGTTTTTTACCAAAGAATCAATGTGCTTTCTTTGCATAATTGTTTCTATAATTTCTATGTATTAACTTAAATAACTGATTTTCTTTTTTAAAAGACTACAGATATTAGTGAATATAAAATGCTTTAAAATGAATCTCTACATCTTAACTTTGAAAACATTTCCTAAAAACTAATTGAAAGGCATTTACAATTCTCCCACTTCTCTTGGAGTTGATAATTTCTCTAACTTAGACGTTTAGATATAACCATTTCTTAAAAATAAAAATAAGAAACAAACCAATTACTCAACAAAATATGTATAAAGTTAAAAAAAAAAAAGTCTTAATAGTTGAAGGAAAAATAAATCACCAACCATTTGCCCCCTTCCCTGTCAAGACACCTATTCTTCTGATAAATCTTCAAAACAATTCTAACATCATCACTTCCTTCAACTTCATTTTGAATATCTGATTTCTTCACTAGGAATATTGAGGGGTTACAACCACAAACAAAAGTTTTAGGTATTTGTAGTAGATTATATAAGCTGACATTTCCGAAACAGCATTCCATCAAATTGGTCTCCCAAAGGATGTTCTTGGCTGCTAATGTACACTGAAAATCACCTGTCTTTCACAGACACACTGGCATTAGGAGTTCTTTTCAAGAAACAAATAATTGAAATTCTTTGAACAATAATGTTTCATGAAACATGCAGAAAAACTCAAAACATGTATAAATTTTTACTCTGAATCCTCAGCTAACACACAGTATCTTCACAAATTACAAAACCAGAATTCAGAAAGGTTAAGAGATTCCTCAAGGAGAATATAATTAGTGACAGATCATGAATTAGAATCCATATCTCTAAATTGCCAGGCCAAAGCTTTAATTAAAAGATATTATTTTAAGGAAAGTGGGGGGAGGAGCATAATTTATACAAATATTAACTGCCATAGTAATAAAGTGAAACTGTGAAACTCACATCTCAATCACATTTCATAATAATATCAATATTTCAATTACTGAAATAAAATTTCCATCTGTCATTAAGCTTTAGCTATTTCAAGTACACATCCTAGAGGGAAAAATCTTTTGGTCTCATTCTTTTAGGTATGATGATAATAGAATTAAATAGTATACCTATTTAAAAACAATTGTCTATTTTAATATATTTAAAATCTTTCTTACTTTTCATTCTAATTCTACTAGATGTCAAAAATAATTAAATGCTAAAAATTCAACTTTAAAATGAACATGTATATTGTTTCATTTTTTGCTAAATTGCAGCTTCTACATTGGTTACTTTTAGCATTAGTCATATAGGCTGGACACAAAAAATGGTTTCTAATTCTAAATTTTAGATGGGATCTCATAGTATATTACTCAAAAATTACACATGTACTTACCAGTTAATCACTATCAATATTTGCTACATATATGACAACTTTTGTTTTTTAAAAAAAGTTGTCATCCATAAAAAATAGTAGTTTCTTAGTTTCAGTATAACCTGGAATAATTAGAAATATTTCAAAAATTCTAATCACAAATATAATAAATATTTGTGTTTTCTCTCTCTCTCTTTTTTTTTGCATTTTGCTTTCAAAGCAATAATATTCTATATTAAGATATCTTGAAGCACCAAAACTATTTAGCTGGATTAAAAAAAAAACAGAGCATCTAATTCATAAAATTACAATGAAACAAGTTTAATGTTATCACTCTTTCTCCTAAACTTGCCAATGAATTTAAAAAGACACACTAATTGTTAAATATCTCCCTCTTTATAGATTACTTTACCTTTCTCTCTGCCCAATTTGCAATGGATTGTCAAACCAAGATTTCTAAAATAAGATTTCTAAAATATTTAACATATGATAATTGGCTGAAGTTCAAAAATATTTTTTAAAAAGGTCACAGATATTTGTAAAAAAAAAAAAAAAAGGTAAGTGTTAAGCACACAAAAATATTTTTTTATCAATTCTATAACTGTTTGGAATTACCTCACATTATTAAAAAAAGTATTTAAGAAAAATTATGCATGAATTTCTGCAACTTTGTTCAAAGAATCCTTACACTCACTTATGTATTTTCAGCAGAATGCAGAGTTGCCAACTAAAGATACTGTCAATAAGGTTTCATTGTGTAAATACCAAATAACATCATAAAATATTCTTATAGTAATAATCTTAATTAATGAAATGATTAAGAGCTAGATTCTAATTTCATGTTCTTTTTAAAAAAGTGACAATATTCTTTCTAATACTATATAGAAAACAAAAACTAATTTTATACTAAAGATAAATTAACATAAATATATCTAATAAAGATTGGTGTACACCTTAAAAACTACAGCAGTATTTTTTCTTTTTCATGCCTATGTAAAATTATTCACAAATCACTAATTAAGAGACAACTTCAAGACAAAACAACTATACAGAACACTTACCTCTAACATTTCATGCAGTGTTATTAGCTGTGTAGTTGATTCTTGAGCATTTTTCTTCAGGAGAAACATGAATAACAAAGAATTAACATTTTGATTCTGCCAATGGCAGAATATTAAACTGTATTTATTACATACTTTAAAAAATTAATATGTCTTAATTGCAATGGTGTCAGGTATATTAAATTCAAACACTTATAATTAGGTGATTTAAAAAGAATTCTTGTACTAACAGTTTAATTAAAAAAAAAAACAGTTGGAACAACCTCTAAATGAAATCTTTTGCAATTACTAGAGGATACAATATAGACTATCTATAAATACAGAATGGCTATTATATTATATATTTACCTATATCAAAGTCCAGTGTTTGAACCTCTCAATCAAAATATCCTGAACAAATGACATTCCACACTGTATTTATACAGTTTCAAGACAGGAAAGTTGCTTCCTAGGGAGCCTTTGTTCATTCATCTTTCTATAGTTCTTGACAGTTCCTAATGTTAACTCAACTCACTGGTTCTTTTATCCTTGAAATGACAGAGACTAAATCTCATTCCAATTCCATGCAAGAGTTCCTCAAATATTTGAAGACAGCTATTATGAACTCAAGTCTTCTCCATATTAATCACTTGTTCCTTAGATTATTTTTCATAAGCCATAGACTTGTGGCCCTTCAGTATTATGGTTGTTGTTTAAATGTGGTCTAGCTTGTCTATTTTGTTTTTTTACTCCAGTCTCCACAATGACATAGGTGTGATTTGATACCAAAGATAAAAAGGAAGATTTATTTCCATACTTGTAGATGCTGGAATTCTATTAATTAAGTTTAAGAATGCAGTAGCTTTTGGACATCTATTTCATCCTACTGACCTATATCTAAACATATTGTCATCTAAAATGACATATCTTAACCTGTATCTAGATAAATTGGGTCTCTTTATTCTTTAATAGTCTAAATCCAAGAAAATATCATCCTAAACACCATCCTATTTTATTTGGCCTAGTTCCCAGTCAGCTGAAAAATAGTCCCAATTGTCATCCAATATATTCATTATCTAGCCCTCTTAGTTTATATTATTTGCAAACTTTGGTGACCAAGTTTTCTACCTCTTTACCCAAATTACTGTTTAAAGTGTTCAATAGGACAAAGCTCTGTGGGGAACTACTAGAAATCTCCTTCCAAGATAATATTAATCCTAATCAGCAGCTTTTGAGTTTAGACATTCAATTAATTGCAAAGTCACCAACTATAACAACAGCTAGTACCTCCCAGATACCAAAAAAGAACATGGAGTACTTATAAAGTCTTAAAAAGATAAAATAGTCTGGCTGGTATGGCTTAGTGGTTGAGCACTGACTCATGCACCAAGAGGTCACCGGTTTGATTCCCGATCAGGACACATGCCCAAATTATGGGCCCGATTTATTCTGAAAAAATAATCAGAAGTAGATTCATTTAAGAATGTGCTCATTCCATCGAATTTGTTGAATCTATTGTCAAGTTATTCATTATATTTTTTAAAAAGAGGTTAAATAAGAAAGTATTACAGAAATAGTAAAATAACCCTGACAAAAATAAATGTGATTTCTGAGTAATGATAATAAAGCTGGATCACAAAATCTCCTGGTCTCTAATACCTTATAAAACAAAAAAGTAGTGTTAAAACAGTATATGATTCACTAGCGATGAAAGCAAATACAATTATAGAATTGACAAAGAAATAAGAAGCAAGGATTAAAACATAAAGGTTTGAGACAAAGAAAACACAGAAAAAACTTTAAAAAAGCAAACAAAGAAAAAATGTTTCCACATAAGGATTTGATAAACTATATATGATAATATTTCTATGAAATAAAAGGTGACATAAATCTGCCCTTAGAAACAATATATCATCTTCAAAGCAAAATTATAGTAAATGATCAACTTTGTAACATGTCCTCCGTTGTTGAAGGTCAAAGATAAAGAATTCTTTAGGCAGATATGCAAATTAAAACCACAATCAGATATCACCTCACACCTGTCACCTACAAATCAACAAACAGGTGTTGGACAGGATGTAGAGAAAAGGGAACCCTTGGGCACTATTGGTGGGAATGCAGATTGGTGCTGTCATTACGGAAAAAAGTATGGTTTCTCTAAAAAATTAAAAATGGAACTGTCTCATGACTCAGTGATTCCACTTCTGGGTATATTTCTAAAGAGACCCAAAACACTAATTCAAAAGAATATATGCACCCCATGTTCAATGCAATGTTATATACAATAGTCAAATTATGAAAGCAAGTTAAGTGTCCATCAATAAACAAATGGATAAAGAAGTGGTATGTATGTACAATGGAATATGCCTCAGCCATAAAAAGAATGAAATCTTGCCATCTGCAACAACATGGACCTAGAGGGTATTGTGCTGAGTGAAGTTAAGTCAGGCAGAGAAAGACAAATGCCATATGATTTCACTTATATTTGGACTCTAACAAAACAAAATGAATGAACAAGCAGAACAGAGACTTATAGATACAGAAAACATTTTGACAGTTGCCAGATGTGAGGGGGGTTGGGGACACGTGTGAAAAAGATGATCAGATTAAGAAATACAACTGGACCCTGGCTGGTTTGGCTCAGCCGTTAGACTCCCAGTGGTTCTCAACCTGTGGGTCGCAACCCCTTTGGGGGTTGAACAATCTTTTCACAGGGTCACCTAAGAATATAGGTCAATGGTATTGTGATAACTATTTATGGTATCAGATGGGTACTAGATTTATCAGGGTGATCACTGCATAAGTTATATAAATGCCTGATCACTGGGTTGTACTCCTGAAACTAATATAATATTGTACATAAACTGTAAATAAAAAATAATTTTTTTTTTAAATTTCAAAAAAATAAAACACCAGAAATTCTTTCTGAACAAATTATGTGCCAAGGAAACCCATCAAATGAAATGATGAATTAAACTTAAAATTTTTTAAATGAATGGTAAAAGATAATAATCAATGAATCCAATAAAATGCAAATAAAGACTAAGCATATACATGAATAATGGTATCAGAAGAATATAAATGCTATACACCTGCCAAAGTAAAAATAACACAGTTTGGAATGAGCATATAAGAAGAAGAATGTTAATTTCTTCATCTTTCATAGTGGGGAGTCAATGAATACTGCCTAAAGTTGAAAGATAAAATTAAATAAAACTTATACTCATTCATAATGTTTTTCATAATTTTAAAAATTGTTTTTTATTGTTTTCAGAGAGAGGAAGGGAAAGGGTGAGAGAGAAACATCAATTGTCTGCCTCCTGCATGCCCCCTACTGAGGTTCCAGCCCATGATTAGGGTATGCATCCTGACCAGGAATCAAACTGGTGACCTTTTGGTGCATGGGATGATGCTCAACCGATTGAACCACACCAGCCAGCGCTGTCTAATACTTACATTATATTAGCATATACAAAATTACACTGATACACCTATCCATCAGTCCACTTATGTTTCTATGGATGTATGGGTTTAGAAGATGTGTCAAATGATGTTCACCTAATGTTAATGATCTGATGGGGGGATTTTGTTTGCTTCTTTCTTCTTTGTATACATCTTTGAATTATAAAGTCCAGTGTTATGAATTGAATTGTGCCCTCAAAAACTGAATTCCTAACCAATGCGACTACATTTGAACTTACAGCCTTTATAGAGATTAGGGTTAAATAGGGTCATAACAGTGGGGTCCTAATCCAATTGGACTGGAGTTCTTATAATAAGAAGAGGGACAGACACCAGAGAGCTCTTTCTCTCTACACTCACACAAGAAAAGGCCATACAAGGACACAGCAAGAAGGCGGCCACCTATAGCCAGGAAGAAAGGCCTCAGCGGAAACCAACTCTGACGGCACCTATTCTTGGACTTCTAGCCTCCAGAACTGTGAGAAAACAAATTTCTTTCGTTTAAAGCCCTTAATCTGCAGTATTTTGTTATGGCAGCTGGAGCTAATACACCCAGTATTACATCCAGTATTATATCACTTGACAGAGAAAATAACCTATCACTTTGTGACATGAATCAATAGTACACATATTTCATTAAAAAAAAAAAAAGTGAGCTTATCAAACATGACTTAAAGAACCATGATGACTTCTGTAGTCAATGCTTCCTTCTAAGAGTGTCTCAAACTTCCACTTCTATTAGTGGAGAAAGTTAACAGATTTTTTAAAAGTTGAAAAAAGGGCAATGGGAATCAGAAAATAAGTCAGTGAGTTACTGTAGTATTATTATCATTAATAGGTAAAGAACCATGAACTTAATGAAATGTTTAATATAAGGCTATCCACAATTCAGAAATAAATTAGGGGTACAGTAAACAATGGAGAGTAGAACAGGAGACATAGTCCACAACAAATGTAAAGCCTACTGATAATTATAAGGAAGAAAGGGAAAAAATTTTAAAACAAAGATTATAAGAAAACCAAGATAATTTTTTTTTCTTTTTCCTAGTATACATATTCATATGAAATTAGAAGGTACTATAATAGATATGCAAGATAGTAGAGACCCAACAATGAATTAAACATATCAAGAAGCTCACAGTGCATGGTGGACAAACAGGGAGATAGCTCATAAATGATTACTACAAAATTATATAATAAATGCTAATAAAATGATACAAATTTCATTCAATGCTTTGCATAAAAGATGATGTTTGAGTTGCCTTAAGTAGAACTTTGCTATCCTCACTGGGTAGAAAGTGTTTTGCAAGCAGAGGGAATTTAATGTATATGACCCAAAAAGTGGCAGGTCATTGCATACTTGCTGGAACTACAGTATGGTTGAATAGATTCATGCAAGATGGATAAAGAATGGCTGGAAAGGAGGGTAAAGAGATAGACCAAGTCCAGCATACAAGTTCATTACTCTAAGGAATTTATAGGCTTCATCCTGTAGGGAGCCATCAAAAGTTTTATGTTGAAAACTGATTAAACTATATATTTTTAGAAAGATCATTCTGGTGGCAGTTTCAATGCCTATTCCTGTTCCACTTCCACACGTCTTATTCATACAACTTATTGTTTTTAAAAAAGAAATTAAAGCAGTTGTCTCATCTTCTGTCACCCAATGTAACATTTATTTGCTTTTGTGGAAAAGCTTCATTCCATCTTAACTACTATTAAAATAGTCAATAACTTACATTAACAGATTTTAAACAACAATTCTTCTGATTTTGAAAGTTACATATGTTCATGGAAAACATGAAAAACAGTAAAAATGAAAACAAATCTTTCCTATAATCCTAGCCCCTAGACATAAGCAATATTACATCTTTTGGTATAAATTATACTTACACAATGTAATCTATATTTTATCCATTTAACAATAAACTATGAGCATTTCATTAACTTCTTTTCAAATGTATTTCAAAATGTTCAATACATTTTTTTTCTTTATTAATTTTAGGGAGAGAGAGAGAAAGGGAGAGGGAGAGACAGATAGAAACATCGATGAGAAAGAACATCGATTGGCCGCCTCCTACATGCCCCTCACCGGGCATTGGGTCCACAACCTGGGCATGTGCCCTGACCAGGAATCGAACTGGTGACCTCTTGGTGTATGGGTTGACACTCAACCACTGAGCTACACCGGCCAGGCTCAATACATTTTTTTAAAAGCTGCATTTTCCCCATCATATGGATACAATATCACAAAGTGTATTTAACTCCTCCTATATTATTGAACAAGTTTGCTTCTAATTTTTCAATAGTTTAATATGATGAGGTACAATTTCTCTACATGTATCTATGTGTGTATAACTTTCAAATGTATAACATTAAAAATTTATCAGAAAATTTATATTTGATCCTACCTGAAACAATTTCATACATGTAAATCTAAACGAATATCTTCTTTGAAACTTACCTTTTTCTTTTTAACATTTCTTTCAGGCAAAGGAAAGTGGTCTTCTAGAAACTCACTCAAGGTAATCAATAGTTTCTCCTTATAGTCTTTTACATCACGTAGTTTAGTTTTCAGCTCATTAAAGACTCTTTTTTAAAAATATATATATATATTTTCATTGAATTATAGAGAGAGAGGAAGGGGAGAGAGAGAGAGAAAGAAACATCAATGTGAGAGAAAAACATCAGTCAGTTGCCTCCCATATGCACCCGACTACGTACTGAACCTGCAGCCTGGGCATTTGCCCTGACAGGGAATTGAACCAGAAACCTGCCAGTGCATAGGACGATGCTCAACCAACTGAGCCACATGGATCAAGATTTCAGCACATTAAAGATTCTAATAGATTTTTAAAAAAAATTAGATCTCACTGATAAAATACGTAAGTGTTTGCAACTGGTTACTCATAAGGTTGATTAAGAACTATGTTCAAATTTCATTTGTTCAAAACAAATATAACTAGTTTTATGAAAATAATATTCTCTATTTAATACATAGGGAAACTAGTAGTCAAGTCATTCATACAAGATCATGTAACTAATAGATGGCAAAGCTAGGATAAGACTCACAATTTTTTGGTAAAGTTTACCTTCTTTCATGTATTTCTCATAAAAAAAAGAAACTACTTTCTCCTAGTTTAAAAAACTAGAACACAAAAATAATACCTTGATTCAGAAACTGTCACAATCTGTTGTTTCAATTCATCATGTAGTACAATAAGGGATCCGAATATCTTTTGCTGTTCATCCAACCATTGTTGCTCCCTTTCAGAACAGGAAAGCAAAACAAACAGTAGCAAAATAAAACATTAATGCCAATTCACACATCAATGACTAATAGTAATTATAATATAAACATACCTTTCCAAGTCTTCCTTTAACTTTTCATTCCTTGACTGAATAGTAGAGAGTACCAATTCAAGATCATGTCTCAATTTTTGGAACTGGAACAAATAATTCATATTAATTGCTTAGTCTTTAATCCTATAAATAATTATATTTCTGAATGATAATAAAACTTACGTATAATTCTAAAATTTATATTCAGAAATTAACAACAAAAAAGCTGAGCAGAAAGCCTTTGAAACAGAAATATAGGGCAGGTGCTAAGTTCTCTGTAATATTCCATTGTTAAATTAAAAAATATAAGACGTGGTTTTTGAGCAATACATTTTAATTTCATATTGACAGGCAATTTAATGGTGAGTTTTCAATAATCAGGTATATTAGGTATCTTTTCTAAGGAGACTATACAAAAACAGACACAAATGAATATCATTAATTCAACAAGTATTTATTAATCAGTCACTGACTACAAGGCATTGTTGAAGGGAGTCAGGGATACAAAGATGAACAGGACAAAGAGGGGAATCCAGACAAACATATTATTCCAGCGAGTGATAAGTTACATGGGCAAAAAAAAAAAAAAATCTAAGGATACAGAAAGGAGGAACAGGTATGATATGCATGAGAGGTAGTATGATATGGAAAGACCTCTCTGATCATGTTAACATTTTAGCAGTAGAAAAAGAAGACAAGATATAAATCATGTCTCTATGTAGCAAAAGAATGTTCCAGAGACAGAGAATTTTAAGTACAAAGGCCCTAAGGCATGTATGCTTGAGGTATTTGAGGAAACTACAATAGATTCTGGACCTTTTCTAGGATCCCTTTGTTTCTAAGACAATCAGTTAGTGTTTAATTCTCCTGATGTCAAGAGCTACCATTAGTTTTTTTCTAAATGTACATCAATGATAATATAAAGATGTATATTACAAGACCTAGAGCAATTATACACAAAAATAAAGAGATATAACAAATATAATGAATTTATTTTTTAATATCCACACCTAATCCAAGACAGTGGGAAAAGAGGAAAGCAGGAACAGAAAAGCTGGACAACTAGAAATGAAAGATCAAGTACATACATGTCAAAGCAACCATATTGATATTACTTTGAAAATTTTTTAATTGATTTTTAAAATTTTTTTAGAGAGGGAGAGAAAGATAGAAACACATCGACATGAAAGAGAAACATCGATTGGTAGCCTCAATGTACGCCTGCAACTGGGAATCGATCCTGCAACCTGGGCATGTGCCCTGACCAGGAATCGAACCAGGACCTCTCAGTCGATCGGACGATGCTCAATCAACTGAGCCACACCAGCCAGGCTTGATATTACTTTAAATATGATCTAACAATGGAATTAAATACCAATAATGAAAAGGTACCTGAAAATTTTGCAAATATTTGGATACTAAAAACAGACTTCTGCCTGGCCAGTGTGGCTCACTGGTTGAGCGTTGAACCATGAACCAAGAGGTCGCCGGTTTAATACATGGTCAGGGCACATGCCTAGGTTGTGGGCCAAATCCTCAGTGGGGGGCATGCAGGAGGCGGCTAATCGATGTTCTCTCTCATCGATGTTTCTCTCTTCCTTTCCTTTCCTCTCTCTCTAAAATCAATAAAGAAAAAAACAGTTTAAAAACAAATAAAAAAGAAAAAAAACAGACCTCTACATAATCCATTAGTCAAAGAAGCAATCAACAGAAAAATAATTATAAGCTGTTTGAAAATAAAAACAATATTAAAATTTCTGGGATGAAGCAAAATCAGTAATCAAATGAGAATTTATATCACTAAAACTCTATATTAGAAAAATACAGCTCTCAGTAAAACGACCTCAGCTTCCACCATAACTAAAAAAAGAGCAAAAAAACAAAAAACAAAATTAAGCTGAAGAAAAAATGATAAAAGTTTAAATTAATGAAATTGAAAAATAGGGAAAAAAGTCAAAGTCTAAGGATACAGAAAGGAAGAATAAGTATTTTTTGAGGTCAGTAAAATTACCCAGCCTAATTTATAAAGAAAAAAGGACACAAATTACCAGCATCACGGATGAAAATGGTGACATTTTACAAACATTAAAATGGTAATAGGGGAATGCTATGAATAGCTTATGTCAATAAATTTTAAAATGAGATCAGATAGATAAACTCTATGAAAGTCACAAATGACAAAACTCGCTTAGAGAAAACAAGAAACCTGACTAGCAGTAAAGAAACTAGATTTGTAGTTAAAAATTTTTCACAAGGAGAATGCCAGGCCCAGAAGGCTTCACATAAAAATTCTAACCAACATTCAAAGAATAATACTAATTCTATATAAACTCTTTTTTTTTTTATCCTCACCAGAGGACATTTTTCCATTTTTTGTTCAGGTAGAGTGGGAGGGAGAGAGAGGAACAGAGAGAGAGAGAAACATCGATGTGAAAGGAACACATCGAGTGGCTGCCACCTGCACAACCGACCAGGGCCAGGGACAAACTGCAACCGAGGTACGTGCCCTTAGCGGGAACCGAACCCGGGTCTACCGCAGGCCAACGCTCTAACCGCTGAGCCAAACTGGCCAGGGCTATACAAACTCTTTTGATGAGAGATACTTCTCAATTTCTATGAAGCTGGTATTGCTTTGATAACAAAGCCTGACAAAGATGTCAGGAGCAAAGAAAATCACAGACCAATATCTCTCATGAACAGAATTGCAAAAATCTTAATAAAATTTTAGCAAATGAAATCTTTCAGCAAATAAAAAAAGATTAATGCATTATACCAAAGTGGAATTTATTCTAGGAATGTACAGTGAAACAATCAAAATCAATTTTTAAAAATCAATGCAATTTATCAACAGACAAAAAAAAAGAAAATTTTGGTCTTCTCAGTGAATTCAGAAAGAAGTGACAAAACTCAATATTAATTTGTGATTTAATGAAGACTTCATAAATTGTAACAGAAGGTAATTTCCTCAAATTAATTAAGGGAATCAATGAAAAATCTGCTGCAAACATCACACTTAATGGTGAAAGAGTGAATGCTATCTGCTCAGGTCAGGAACAAAGCAAAAATAAGTACTCTTATTCAATATAGTATTAAATGTTCTAGGACAGTACACTAAGTCCAGAAAAAGATATAACAATTTTTCAGATAGAAAGGAATAAGTAAATTGCCTTTGATTTCAAATGACATGACTAGCTACAAATAAAATCATACAGAACCTAGGAAAAAGCTATTAGAATAAAGGGGATATCATGCTCCCTAGGTACAAGATCAATGGATACATATTAATTGCATTTGTATGTACTAGGAATAAATAATTGGAAATTGAAATTACAAAAATATATATTATCTGAGCCCTGGCCAGTGTGGCTCAGTCAGTTGGAGCATTGTCCAGTGGAGGGTTAGATTTCTGGTCAGGGCACATACCCAGGTTGTGGATTCAATCCTCGGTCAGGGAGTGTTCGGGAAGCAACCAATCAATGTCTCTCTCTCATTCTTTCTGAATTCATTGAGATGATCAAGATTTTCTTTTCTTTTTTAATGTGCTGATATATAGTGAAATATAAAACACTGTATTTGGTATTTTAAAAACCAAATAAATGAACACCTAAATTAATGCTGAGATCATGCAATGCATATGGATCTGAACTGAGACTCAATATGTTAAAGATGTCAATTCTCCACATATTAAACTACAGATTCACAGCACTCTCAGTCAAAATTTCAGTAAGGTTTTTTTATGGGATAGAATGACAAGCCAACTCTAATTTATATAAAAATAGAAAACAATTTTGGTAAGAAACGACAAAGTTAGATAACCTACACTATTTAATTTCAAGACTTATTACAAAGCTTCAGTAAGTAAAAAATGTGGTATTGGACTAAGACAGAAACCAGAACCAAGGAAAAAACACATATGCAAAGCACAGAATAGAGAAAAAATGAAGAATCTAGAAATAAATTCACTCATATATTGTTAATTTTCAGTAAATGTGCAAAAAAAATCCAAAACAGATAGTTCTTTCAACATTTTGTGTTGGAACAATTCATATCTATATGCAAAAAATAAACCTTTATCAACAACTAAATTCATATATAAACATTATTTCAAAATGGATCATAGATCTAAATGTGAAACCCAAAAACCTAAAACTTTAAAATTTCTAAAAGAAAACATGAAGAAATCTTTGTGACCTTAAGTTGGACAAATATTTCCTATAATTGAGTAAACCTTAAAAGAAAACTTGAGCCTGGCCGGTGTGGCTCAGTGGCTGAATGTTGACCCATGCACCAAGAGGTCACCAGTTCGATTCCCGGTCAGGGCACATGCCCAGGTTGTGGGCCAAATCCCCAGAGGGGGGCATGCAGGAGGAGGCCAATTGATGTTCTCTCTCATTGATGTTTCTATCTCTCTCTTCCTCTTCTTTCCTCTCTCTAAAATCAATAAAAAAATAAATAAATTTTTAAATAAAAAGAAAACTTGATAAAATAGAACCAAATTAGGAGCTTATGGTCTTCAAAAGACACTGTTAAGAGAATTAAAAAACAGGTGTTCAGTGAAAGGGGTTAATTCAGCATGCCAAGGTTGCACAAACTGGACATTACTAAGAAAGGCCTGTGTTCAGGACTGGCTCCTGGTGGATTCCTGGAAGAGAAGCTATGAGGCATTGGAATATCCTGCCTATGAAGGGTGTTTGAGTGTGCCTGGAGCCTTGGGTCAGTTGGTACCAGTTTGATTAGTTTATTCTAACTATGTCATTTTTGGTTAATGCATTTTTGCTTTGGGACCTGGAGTCTGAGTAGCTGCTGTCAGTCAAGGAGGCCCTGATAAAAACCATGAACAAGCTAAAATAAACTTCCCTGCTTGACCACACATTGACCATGTTATCACATACAGGTGCAGGGAGAATTAAACATACCCACTGGGAAAGGATTCCTATATGCTTGGCCCATATAGTTGGTGTTTTCCTTTACTCATTTTAATCTGTGTCCTCTCACTATAATTAACCACAACCATGAGTATAACAGCTCTTCTGAATGCTGTGAGCTTATTTAGCTAACCACGGAACCTGAGAGTGGTCTTGGGGAAAACACTGACACAGTTGGC